ATTTTTGCGTACTTATCCCGTCAATTAGATTCTCACAGATAATCACACTACTAGCAAGGTGCAAACTAAGACTGTAGGAAATTATATCAGATGTGGTAAGCTCTTTGGTATGATTGAGTTAATTCATAGATAACAATCTTTTTTAATGTCCAATATCAAAAGTCAATTCAGAAAAGGAATATTTATTCCATTATAGCCTAATCTGGCATTTGATATCAATATCAAAGGCATAAGAGACTATGGTAGAACACCCCCGAAGCACGAATGGTACGTGAGAATTTCCTTCTGGCAATGAATAAATGCCTTTGTATCAATGAGATAGACTGGATGATTTACGAAGTACTTTTGGGAAGTCCACTTTCCTCTGGTGTTCAGGATTACTAGATTTGTATGCTTTGCTTCATTCAAAAAAAGAACGAGTCTATCATTGCCAGGTCGGAATTCGAGGGCAAGTCTTAGTACAAAATGACATCCAGCAATTCAACTATGGCCAAAGTCAGCAACAGTTATTTTACGAACATCCACCAAAGAAAGGACAACATCCGTTTAATTGAATTTATTTTACTGTCTTACAATAGATAGCGCGCTGTTCCAACATATTACCCTCAGCACTGTTATATACATAACTGAAATACGTGCGTAATTACGTTAAAGGAATGCCGAATAGACCATTATAGTTAGCATTTTATAATCAAAAAGGGCAGAGCACCACCATCAATTACAAAGTCGCGCAATACTAACAGATTGCAGATAATCCTATTTTTTACATTTACGTTTACGCTTGATCTGTTGGAAGACAACGTAGCAGGGTTACATTGCGTGTGTGTGAATGAGAAAAATCCAGTCGCAAAAGGACGTTAACATATGTTCCGGTTAGAAAACAAAAGGGCTATCAACAGTATAGAGTCATTGACACTGTTTGTTATGGATTTTGTATTGGTGATGAGCAAACGAATTCTATCGCCAGTATAAGAATGTTGTAAAAGAGGGTTACTTAAAACGGGCCAAAATGCAACACATTATTAGTAGATCGGTCAGGGAGAGGGAGATGATACGGAGGTAAACGATAATGAAAGGGCAGAGGAATTATAGGAAGACATAATGTAATTTGATAATTGACATTGACATTGACATTGACATTGACATTGCGTATGTTCATAGATATTATTATATAACTAGATTTAAAATTTTATAGGGGGCTTCGCCACTTGTGGCTGTTAAGAAGTGCCACTTGCGAATACGTTTAATTTTGTACGGTATATATTTATTGTGATGCTGAGGTCCACATGTTCGATTGCTATTACCTAATCGTCGCGGGCTCATTACGTTCGTTGTCACAGATACATATTGCCTTTTCAGAGAAGCAAAACTATCATAACTACGTTTGTTGAGAAGGGGCATACATGATAAAAATACACATTTGCGCGTTATACTCCAGCAGATAAAGGAGGGAACGATTAACGAATATGTCATCACAAAATTTTCCTGACTTTAACCCTTTGCTGTTAGTCTCATCTGATGTTTAGATGGGGAATAAGCTGGAGATTTGATTACGCCAAGTTCGAGCGAGGGGTACATTGTTGCAGACTTCTGACATTTGATCTGTAGAGTGGAAATAAATAGATGTTACATGGCTGTTTAATTGAAAGAATGTAAACCTAATTTATACGTACTGTATGTAGCAGCATGTCTTCTAGTTTCGTGACAGCCAGCTAATCCAAGGATGTCATCAACCACGAACCAGTTAAGATTTTTTTTTTGGTATGTAGACATCGGAAGTGAATGGTAATGGATTCGCTAAGGATCTACAATGGGAATCGAGTGGATGAAATGTTTTTTTTTTGTTATTAGGAAAGAGATCTAGTATGATGAAACATTATATTTTTCAGATGTACAGCGTGAAGGGAGAATATCTGCCTCATTTATAGAGTGAGAACAGAACGGCACATTTTTTGGTATCACTATTATATTAAGTGTAAGCGTAGCGAAAGCCAATGGAATTATTAGATATGATGTGTAATTTGGTGCATCGAAACAAATAGTAATTTTTTTTCTTTATATTTTTCTGGTACAAGAATATTTACAAAAAAATAATAATAAAAATATGGTATAAGTTAGATTAATTTTCACGTAATTTTTTACTATGTTGGTATGCTTGATAAGTTAGGAGAGCGATGAGCTAAATAGTTTAAATGTAAACAAAAGACATAAGAGCATTTAGCGAAAGAGATTGGGATAAGACTTTATTTGTTAGTAGCAAAATATAGAGGAATCGTTGTGAGAGGGAAATTTGACTATTGGAATTCATTATAAGAAATATTTGCGGAAATGGAAGATACGTAGTCATCGGTTTGGTACACTGTGTATGCACGGTAACTTACTGTATTGACACACTTAATAAGGTAGAGCAAGCATACGCTGGGAAAATGTATAGTATAGTAGAAGAACAAATGAGTATTACAATAAATAATTTCTTTAGTATTACTTTCTGAGAAAGCATCATTGAATAAGATATTGTTTTGTTGGTCCTTCTGTGTCAGATAAATAATCAAGCTTGTTTTAGTAGTCGTGACAAGAATATTACGGGAAATGGGAAATACGAGTTATCGGTCTAATATATATAACTTCCTATGTTAAAGACGCACAATGTGTAGTACAAGAATAGTAAATCAATAGAATTAAATAGTTTAGTGAATTTTCGGAAAAATGTAAGTATAAGTAGTATCAATTTGTTGATTCATTTACAAGTAATGGAATATGATTCGATATTAACGAAAATATGGCTAATTATATCAATAGATCATAGTGAAATATGAGTGTAATCGCGTAAATTAAAAAATGAAGTGGATGGGTTATTTCTAGACGTTCATATTTGCATATGACAGTTTGATCAACTTGTTTATCTAAAGCAGGGAATTTCTACGATGGTGCACGGCTGAGTTTGACCAGTAGCGAAAAATTGTTTATCCAGATGTAGAAATATGTGTGGCGATGTTAGCCTCGAGACCACTGTAAAGGAATTGTTTGCAAGAGAATTTATGCCATTAACGTGTACTAGAAATCTATTACCAAGAAAGTAACGTAGATTTGGTCGAAAACTACTTAGACTGGTAGTATGTTGATAAGAGAAAGATATTTCTTTGGTATATTGAGAGGGATTGGAGCTAGAGTAAGGCATGTTCGATTATTATTGGAATTTGATTTGCATTAAATTAGCAAATTGCAATTTTGGCTAGGCGTGGATTAGTATAGTAAGATTTGTTTGCAAAGGATAAGCAATGGCATTATTTCTGACCTACCCATTTCGCAGATTGCGCGCGAGCAATAAGAACAGGGAATGCATGGAAACGAAGCTTAATCTTCTTCATAAAGTAGGCGTAAAACTTTTTGCAGTTTATCGGAAGGACGCCAGTATGTGGTATTTGAAGGATTCTCAGATGATTATACACTATATTTGTCAGAGGGGGTTGCCGAAAAAAAGCTCTCTGATCATAACAGTATTATTCCTAATATATTAAAAAAATTTTGTGAGCAAAAAGTTCGGATTGTAGTAAGCTGAAACAAATTAGCGTTTGTTTGATATATGAGAAGCATGAAATTGAGTATATGATACATTATTATTATGGTTAACGCATATGTGATTATTATAGTCTTGATAATAAATAATAAAATATGTTGCCTTCATTGACTATTCAATTCCAATTTGACATATGTCAATTCTAGATTGACATAAATTCCAAATTGACATACAACAATATCAACAATTGTTAGGAGAAATGCAATCGATATTCCAAAAGGATTTGTACTAGTCCAACAATCTAAACTGGTATGTAGGTAGATGGTAGATAGGAGAAAGATTTTCTTTTGGAATAGGTACATCATGGATAACTAGTATTGGAGTGAGTGTGTAAGGCACGGTTGATCATTGAGATTCCATGGATTAACCACTTCCGCTGTTTATGTTGAGGATGGTATGTCAATATTGGATATATAAACACTGTATCTGTAAGCACAAAATTTTTCATTGCTGAGGGTGCTGGGAATTCAACCCTGCAAGGCTCCACTTCCCACGGGATCATCTGCAGGATGATTCAAACGCGTTAACAGGTCATTAGGCATTCAAACCAAGAGCTTCTGTGTTTTCAGCTGTAAGACCAGTCATTAAGAACAGTCCATTCATTATCACATCGTCATTTGTGTCCAAACCGTATTCATCCACAGTCGTCTCTTTGCCTTAATCACTACTATTCCTTCAGAAGAGATTTCAACGCTTTGTTCTGGATGTGATTTCATGGTTTTCAACATTATATGTAATAGCGCTTATACATATACGTTACTTGCTACTTCCGCGCGCGAAATTATAAGCTATTTCAGCACGCATCTGTGCTATGAAAACGCTTCCCCAAGCTAGGTAGTCGGTAGAACATAGAGTAATTAGCCAAACCATCCCACAATAATTATCATTAGTCATTAGCCAAATCATTCCATAGTAATGATCATTAACCATTAATCAGATAAACTGGTTGTGACAACTATTGTACTGCTAATTAATCGGAGGATAACAATAAATAAACAAAAAAAAATAAACATCCGGTTCGATTATTTGAATTTATCAGCTAATAGAATGCAGTTTTAGAAGAAAATCTTAGCGCTAAATAGCTTAACAATTGTATTATATTTAGGGAAAATATGTTGCCAAAATTGTATTAGTATTGTTGATATCCGATAAAAATGTGTAAATTCAGCATGAAGATAAATGAAATAATTTTCGGAACATTATCTTGTCCGTGAAAAGAAGGCATTAATTATTTTACAATGCAAATAGTATTGATTGACACCATGTTGTCAATAAGTATGGTATGTCGAAAAGGGCTTATTTAACAACTTATTATTACATAAGAGAACTAGAAACCTGCATTATCGAACAGACAACAAACATGATTACTTTTATTAAACAAATAACAAATAAATAAACAACTATTGCAAATACATGTAATGTATTATTCTACTCTGTCATCATCTTTGTTCTGCTCCACCGGCATTGTAATCTCATTCAACGCATTAGCAAATTCCAGAACGTAATCATTTAGTTTCTTGTTAGCAGCCAATAACGTAACGCTCTACAATCGTCTGTAATGAAGTCACAATCATTCAACAAAGAAGATAGGGTTTTTTGTCTAATCCATGCGAGATGTTGTTCTCGCAAAAACCCTAGTTCCTCGAGAGACCTATCAAATTTATCTTTAACGCAGATGACCTCCCACTGAGTGCTCGATTGTATGTTTCCGGCTGTCTGTAGTCCGTCAAATTGTTGCCAAATCCAGCAGTCAGAGGCGATAACGTCTGTCATAGTCAGCGGCTGAATCGCGGATGTAGAATCTTAAAAAAGATATGCTGACTGCTCTGAAAGATTGTTGTATGACACACAGTCTTTCCTGTCAAACCAACTTCTTCTGCAGTGAACTCTCTAAGACGTTCAGGTAAAAATAGCCAATGGTTTATTGAATGTTCTTTAAAGTCAAAAAGCCGGGATGCAATAAAGAACTGCCTGTAAATGTCAGTAGAAGCCTGAAAGAGATAGATTGTATTAGAAAAAAGCAGTACATTTCAACACTCGATTTGATATTACTTATGCAATTAGTTGTATTACGTGCTGTTGTTCTTGACATCCTACAGAAGTCTTTTGCATTAATGGTGCAGTAATGCTTTAACTTAGAATAGACTTGCATTACATCATATGTGAAGGCCAATTCTAAATTAAATAAATGATAATAACGTCAATAGGTGTGCCAATTAAAACACTCAAAGTTTTGCACCAGGAGACATACTTTTATGGTGACGTGTTGCTGACCTGTACAGAAAATAAGTTAAAATATATATATAAGAAAGAAAGAAAGAGAGAGAGAGAGAGAGAGAGAGAGAGAGAGAGAAGCTTTTACGCCATTTACCATAAAGTGTTTGAACAATTATTTTTTTTGCATCAAAAAAAGTCGCTGAGCATGAACACCGCTTGGGAAGAACAATTGTACCATGGTCATATTCTACAAAGAGACTGCCATATTCGGTATTTCTCCATTGCTCGAAAAAATGATACCAATTTGCCGAGCCATGATATTCATTTGCATGAGAAACACAAAAGATGGTACCTATACAAAATTGCAAATTTAATTTGTTGGCTTGTTTAGTTAACAGATGATGAAGTTCTATAACTCACTGCCACATTCTAGACAACAAATGGTCGCAGGCTCTTCACAAAATTTACATGTATCGGCAAACGACATGGCTTGATTTTGTATGTCGAAGTCTATCACACTAGGTACCATTCCAATTAGCATGGAGTTGGTTCATTCGCTCTCTGTAGGAATTTTTTTGTCTTTCCACCATCTCCAAAAGATTTGCCGATGAAAAGTCGTCATCTGAATCATCTGATAATGGCTCTTGATAACTATAAGTAACATGTGAAATGTCAGCATAAAAACATGGTATTATTAAAATTGACTTTACTATTCTAGTGTTATAACATACTCTGGGTCACTACTTTCAATGTCTGGGAGTGTTCTGAATCCTCGAAGCTTTCTGATGACGACTTAACCAACGATCTAATTTTGCGAGCGTCCTCTTTGGTGACTTGTGGATCAATTCCAGAAGAGCTGGAAGAAATAACCATTTCGAATCTACGAATTATAGAATTTCTGGGTAATTTGTTTATGCTGTTTCAAAATTATTTTTTGTGAATCAATAATAGAATAAATAACCAATAAACATGACAGATTTCATTAATTGAAATGTCTACCTTATAATATAAATCATCCATATCGCTTGTTATATCAAGTGAAATCAATTTTGCTCTTTCAGAAGTAGGTAAATAATATGAGCGTAGGGTAGGCCTAAGACAATCATACGAAATCCATTCCAAATACGATTCGTTTGCCGAGTTAGTCTGATCCCTTAATAATTCATCAAGTTTCTTGTTGTTGCTAGTCCATCTATCAGACAACTGTTTATGCCCACAAATACACCACATCTAAGCATTCCGCATGCGGAGCAGAATCCATAACGAGAATAATAATGGTGAAAATTTCTCACAGTAACCATGTAATAGTTATCGTCATGCTTGGTAAATCCATATATCAAGCTATTGCGAGTCTTAAGCTATTCTGCATATCTTATGAACAGCGGTAGTGAAGAATTGACATGACATTTCGCCTTGGATGCGAGTACTTGCGGCCTCACTCATGAAGGCTGGCGTACATTCTTCATTGTTTCCGAGCAGTAACAGCATCATATCCGCATACCATATTTGTGCATAGTAGATAGTTTGGTCTGCAATATTTTGACTGGACTCTATGCTAATAAACTCCTCGGAAGGGAACCATGAATAAAGTAGTCAATTGCTTGCATTTGATCAGACGGATTATGCATATTATCAAATCATTGTAGTACAGATGTAACTAAGAAAATCTATAAGACGTTAAGGGCAAAGAGACTTTGACAAGTATTAAGTATAAACAAATGGATAACTTTCACACTGTTCTAAACAATATAAAAAGTTTTATTGGAAGGCATTGAATCCTCCTTAGAAAGTGTAAAAACAAAGACTTAAGACCTGAATGAATACCTTACGAGGAAATCACCGACATAAGTCAAGCCAAATTGACGTATTATACTATTCGCAAGCTGACATTTATGATCATGATGATGAAACGATGATAATACTTGGAAGTAGCGAAGAATGTATACCAACACTTGTGAGGCGTTTTTGGTTAGCTTCGTGAGCAAATCCAAATTGGTTTAATATTAATCAATGGGATAAACTGCTACAAGTCAATTTAACAAGCGAACATATAACCTACCGCAATATTCGACAACGTGGTATCATCTTTGATTTTGTTTCGACGTGATTTGCGCATACAGTCCTACCTCATTTGTATCCCCCTATTGTATCCCGACCTGCTTCGCCTTAACGAGTTTGACTTGTATATCGACCACATCGTCTAAGGAGAATCGAATTACGTTATCAGTTTTCTGCCGACGTATGGGTCAAAAAACTTCAAGTTAAGACATATTTACCTTTTTTGTTGACGGCTATACCTAGTACTAGTCGTTTAGATATTATATGACAAGAGTCTAACATGTGAATTAATATAAATAGTTTATACAACGCGTCTATTCTATTGAGATAAACTTTTTTGTGAAATTACGTATTATTACGTTATCGGCAATTTCAAAGTTAACATACTTACTCATCGTCACCTAGTTATCAGTAATTCAGACATCCATAAAGTCATTGACGAGAAACGAACGAATACAGCCAACTCTGTTTATACCGGACCGTGTTGCCATAGCTCTCTGTTCGGAACCGGTGTATGGAAAGTTTATAAGAGCTCCAGTATAAACAAAGAATTTTCATATGAACGAACGGTGCGCCCGTCCGGTATAAAGATATACATTTCCGGTATAAACAGAGTTGACTGTATATGATTGAGGCATGCCGCGTTGAGGAAGGTGAGGTTTTACTATAAACATAATACTTATATATTACTTCATTATTAATTGATTCAAGATTTAGTAATGCTCCTTATGCTTTTGACGTGAATAAGTGTTATTGATGAAAATATGTGTTGTACTTTTAAATGTGGCGTATTCTAGCACAAGCAAGTATTAGATCGTACCACGACAATTTTCTCGGCATAAAAGCCAATGCAATCATAATATTTTATTCAAAGCAAAATTTATACTAACAAAGGACAATCAGATATTTGATTATACTAAATGCAAACGATCGAGCCTGCCCTTACTTGCTCAATCCTAACATTTTACAAACCTCGTTACATTTATGGTTTGCCATGAAACAGTCATTGATTCCCTTGTGACCAAGGTTTGTCTTTCCAAATCTTAACGGGTCAAGACAATGTATTGCTGGATCTGTTAGGAAGAACCGATCGGAAAGTTCAATTCCTTGCAGATCATAAACTACTAAATATTTCTTAGTATGCTCGTATGTAAAGTGGGCAAATGCTTCTAGTGTAGGACGATGTTCCACAATGACGCCACTATTTACGTTGAATCGTTTAAATTCTGCGCCTGCAAGTCTTGGTTCTACAGTATAGTATTGCGTCTTGAAATCAATGGTACAACGCAAAAGCTCTGCATCAAGGAAATATACCCGCTTAACGTCCATTCGTTTCGTCGCTAAATTAAATTTGGCAGACAGATAATAAGCAACAGTAGACACCTCTACCGCCTCGAGATACTTTTCGATGGGATTTGTTTGACCGAGACTAAGGTATTCTTTCATCACCACTTTTCGGTGTGGTTCCTTGTCGGTTTGAAGACCAAAATATGCATATCTCTCGGCACCAGCAGAGAACGGGTCTTTGGATATTTTAAAGTTGTAATTTCGAGAAAAGAGATTCGATTTGTTGAAATACTCGGGATCCTTTAGCTGGTTCAAGGTTTTAGGTATGCGATACCACAAAATGACTCCAGAATACGACTCGGACGTATTCCAATCAGGTTCGTTTGGATTCATTTCGAGTTTTCTTTGCCGTAAAGAATATATAGTCTTGGTGGTATCGCTTCCTATACTGCTAGTCAGCGTAACCGAGGTGGTAATTGCCGAACAGGCGGCTTTGTATAGTTTATCGACCAATGCAATCGGATCCCCTCCAACAAGATCGAATACCGGAAACTCTCCGATTATCTTCTGGAAAATCTGAACCATCAAGTCTGTTTCGTCTGTTATTTTTCCAAAGAAATAGAGAATATTTTCCTTTTGCATTTCATTGAGGACACCTTCCGCTGTCAAGCCGTTTGGATCGCCCTTTGGGTGAATGTCGTAATTGCGATTCTCTGCAGCATTATGAATATGCTTATTATATTCTTTACCATGTGGTGGATAATCGCCAAGGTGAAGAAGAATGCGAGTACCCTGTCGCCAATTCATCCGAGTTATGGCTGCATTGAGACCGCCAAGAACGTCTTCTGCTGCGTCACCACCACCAGTTGCCGGAACGGAAGCCAATTTAGCTTTGAAGCTATCGTAAGAACTGGTAAAGTTGAAAACCTCTAGACGTTTATTTCCATCGCAAAAATCACGATAGCCGACAAAGCCGATAGAAAGTTTAATACAAGGATTGGTCATCTTGACATAGTTTACTACTTGCATGATGCAGTCTTTAGCCGCAGCAATATGTCCCAACATGGAGTCGGTGCAGTCCAAGACAAAGCAAAAATCAACTTCCATCGAGCGTTTGATCTTACTGAGTGTCTTGGATATGGCATTTTCACGTAATGCTGCAGCTTTGGTTCTCTGTCCTTTTTCGAGATACTCCTCCTGGACTTCGTCGACATAACGCTTCAAGCGTTCTTCCGGAAGATCTAATTTCTCCAAATCGGGTACAGACGGCGACGAGGAAACAAGAGTATGTTCACTTTCATTTTCTTCGTTTTCATTTTCATTTTTCAACTCGCCCTCAACAGTAAATCGTTTCGAATATTCTTTGGTAAGATTTTGCTTCTCTAATTCTGTTAGAGAGACGAGAGTAGCCGCCGTAGTATTTATTGTCGTTATTGGTACTGTTGTTTCGGAGACGGGAGGTGGAGCAGCCGCATCTCTACTTTTTACTTTTTTTGACTTTTTCTTATGAAGGCAAAGAAACTTGCGCATACTGTAATGGACGTAACGACAAGCTTATGATTCAAAGAAAAATTAGACTTTTTTTATATTGTGAACGCCGGATACAAAGTAAACTATTTCCGACTTTAATGTGGCCCAGTTGGCCATCATCAATTATGCATTTGTTTGCTGGGGCGTAACTTTGTCCTACACGTAAAGAGTAGTTTTTCTTTGTTGGATGTTTCGTACTACACGTAGTATGCTTTGCATAGCATCACATGAGTCCTTAAATTGTGTATTTGGTTCTCTGAGAGGTACAAGTCGTAGAGTTCAAATGAATATGGTTTAAAAAAAGTCACCTATGAGATAATACTGATAAACTTCTACTGTTGTTCCAATCCAATCGATTGTTCCATGGTGTTACACATATGGTTAGCCTTGATGAGGAGCAAGATAAGGACAACAACAATAAATAAATAATGTTGTGAATATAGGCCACGTGCCTACTTTGCTTTTTTATTTTCTTCGCATGCTTAAATCGGTTCATCCAAACGACGTCAGCATATCGATATTGCTCAAATTCGTTGGGTATTCTGTTAGAGTTTTGCGGATTCACACGGTGAGGAACTTTAAGTTGTAACGACAAGCTTCGTGTTACCGGTTGTGACTGCGCCTATGTAAGGTCGTTTTATTTAGAGTTTGCGCTTACTAAATAAAGCATTTGAATGAATAATATCGACGATAACCGAATGTATTCATATCTCAACCAATGATGCTACTATTTTAGTGTAACGCATATCCCAAAGGTACAAAATTAGCAATCAGATGAATATTGTCGTCGTTTGTAAGCAAGAATGACATGATCAATGGATATTCGATTGACATCTTATTTAAATATGACAATGAATCGGAAACATAATTTCACGTTCTGTTAACTTTATCGTTTTAATAAGTACTTGGCAAGTATGATAAAATTCCAGTTTAACGGTGTTCCCGAATAACAGTTATAATTACAGTTAGTAAAGCTACATATATTTATAAACACATAATCTGTTTGAGAATTGCCGATGTTGAAGAGGTCCTTCAAAATTACCATCTTTTCTATCGTTCTTGTCACTACCCAAAGGCCAGCACACCTTTTTCTCCTGCAAAAGGCAAGTTTAGAGAAATGAGCTATAGAAAAAAAGATGTTAAAATATGTCAATAATATGTCTTTCCAGGCTTGATTGGGCCAAGCAAATGGCATGGATCAATTCTTTGTACTGCATTTCAAATCTTTTATTTAACCCACAATAATACTTTCGCAAAAGATAGTTGAGGAAAATAATTACAGGTATTACGGTCTCTCTTTTGGTAACATGTATGGTTTGTTGTCCAGACATTAAGAACGGTTGCAATTATCAATTACTGCATATTAGGAATAACCTCCAAGTTTGTTGTAATAATACCGATAAAAGTAAAACGTGACTTGAAAAACGTCGAACACCAGTGATATTCCGGTTTTGAATATAATCATATTAATACCGCATGGGATTTCCGTCCTTGACCAGTGGAATTGGTTAAGCTCGAGCATTACAATACTTTGATGTATGTGCGAGATTTGGGTATATTAATGGTACAACTTTAATCTCAGCCATCACCAAATGCTTATTCGCGTTCATTTAATTTAAGTTGCGCTTAAATGGGAGTTACGAATAAACCATATTATCATTATGATTATTGATTACGGGATGTCATGTTTATTGGTCGGCTATTTACTTATCAGCATAAACATAATGTTTATTTTTTATTGGTCGTGCGATGAGCATACAATCGTGTGGATTACTATTGGCCTACTAGAAGAACTAAGATTATCTAATAATGAATATTACGGCGATGGATAATATCTGGCATACATACGACTATCTGTTTTGTGTGTAAACACAAAGCCTCTAGACTGGACTACTGGAAACGATTCTTTGGATAATAGTTATATACAATGGATTGAGTATTCTCGATAGACAAACACTACGAGACGATGTCATTACACCACGGATGCACACCAGTTGCAAATTTGACAGATTAACGAATATGGTATTCAAAAAAATAGTTGATAACAGATTACTCAATTATTCGATTTCATGTGGTTGTTGCTATACGCGTTGCCGTTTTACCGATAACTGTACCCAGGATATTATCCAACATCGGACAATTTTTGTATCATGCAAGAACATTGACACTATTCTTCATGAGATGTTGAACAGAATTAATGGATCCGGTGACAATGACAACAGTCTATAGATCTAGGCGTAAAATAAACGATATCCAAGTATACTGCTCTTTTAAGAATATAATTGAATGCCGGATTTATTCATTCTAATAAAAATGACATTCAATTAGTCAAGCCGCGCTGTTTTTCTCATGGTGCCCTTGAAGTAAATGGAATTAAACAGCGACCAGAAACAAGTGCTTGTCGTACAATATGCTAATAATATTATTATTATATTGTCTTACTGGAGTCAAAATATTGACAAGCTGATATGGAAGACAAAATTACAGCATTTGAGTTATATTGCAGAACGTCTGAATAGTATTGATAACCTGATTGGCAATTGTTATCTCCATGATGGAAACATACTGTTTCATGACTACAAAATCTAAAGCAGGAGATATAAAACTATTAATACTTCAAGCATTTATGATTTTTGTCTTATTGAGTGCTAAAAGCTATGTGTGATAATAAATGCTTGTTGATAGACAACAAATTTGGTCAGCGTATCAAGTAGGACGCGTTTATCATTTGCTTGTAAGCAAATAGCTTATTCTAAACGATTTGTCTAAATATAATAATAAATAGACTTGTTTAAGCTATATACTCTAGTGCTAGTTGTCAATAAGTTGAACTTTTTTATAAGGGATAATTTATTCTTTACAGAACTGTATAAATTTTTAGCTAAGTATATAATTTGATGGGCCAATATGTTAACAAAATTCTGCAGGATTACAACTATTATTTGATTTAAATATACAATTCTATAACAATAAGGCTGCCTTGTAAGTTAGTGACATTGGCGTAATCAAGTGGAAAAAAATCCGGTCCACATTTATACAATAGTTAAATAATACTCCCCTGTATTCAAGCAGATGTAGTAAGAAAATGCAAGATTGCAAACGATGAAAATATTCGTCCGAGTTGCAGACGGGACTATGTCAACCTGCTAAAGTCTGTATGTTTGGCATAGAAAATGTCGTTTATTAATTATTGTAGTGTTAAGCATGTGTATTGAATTGCCATATACACACAATATAATCGACGCGAACACATAACAATGGGGCCAAGTTACCAAGATAAACACTCTTCCAGATAACATTAAAATCGTAGTTCTTCACTTTTGTGGCAAGAGAAAAGACAGCAAGCTTTACCAGATAATACTCTATTTGTTGTGACAATAGCCACATTTTATGTGATTCGTGGCTTGATACTGTGGCGCGCCATCAATATAATGACGCCTCAGATTGAAAAAATTGCCCAATATTCAATCCAAAAACTTGCAAAAAATGACAGACCAAGTAACCCTTCGTCAAATCCAGTTGACCAATTTCCATGTTCCGTTGTAATTTTCTCACTTGCATTCAATTCCTTAGCAATCGCCGGAAGCTGATTTCGTTGATGCAGATGAAATAGTTGAACAAATAAATCTTGATGATGAGCTGCAACTGTCAGAGATGGAGACGGATGACGAAGAGGGTGGTGAGATTGATCATGCTGGATTAGGTGGTTTGCATGATAATATTTGCATGCAAGTTATAAGATTTATTTTAACTTTTAGAAGCGACAGACGCAGAAAGCGATGTCGAAGATTCTGTACAAACGTTTCTCGGACATAAAGGTTATTTATTATCTAACGGTATATGCAGTCGTTCAATCGTCGGCGTAAAATTAATATTAATATTGAACACCGATTTTAAAAGGACCCGTATATTCAGTTGATATACATCCTGTAAATGAAACGACAATTGCATCGGGTGGAGGCGATGATAAGGGCTTTATATGGCAATCAGATACCGGAGAACGATTGTTTGAGTTGTCTGGTATTTACAACATGACCGATAAGCATGACGACAGGCTTCTATCGCTATAATTTTTAACATTCTACTTTTCTATGCTTCCTTGTCCTTCCCGTATAAAAGGTCACTCTGACTCTGTAACATCGGTTCGATTCAGTACAGATGGACAATACGTGGCAACTGCTGGCATGGATGGAAAGGTTAAAGTTTGGAAAGTAGAGGATGGCAGTGAAGTTGTTGTACTTGAAGGACCTGACGGTGAAATAGTAAGTTAGGAAAACTGGCGTTAATTGCAGATGGCGAGCATCTGTAAGAGAATGGATCTTTCTTGCAATGAGCTTACTTGTTCTATTCGATGTGTGCATTAGGAATGGATAGACTGGCATCCAAAAGGAAATGTTCTTCTTGCTGGAGCATCGGATTCAACAATGTGGATGTGGTCAAGTACGATCGTCAGTCACTATTCTGTCTGTTAATTATTACTTGGAGATCGTACTCTAATTTATATCCACTATTGGTTCTTTTATCATGAAAAAGTTCCATCTGGTGAATGTATGAACGTCTTTGCCGGCCATTCGGCAACAGTTACAGCCGGACAGTTTACACCAGATGGAAAGAAGATTGTTAGTGCATCCGAGGACGTGTCCTTGATCGTATGGGATCCGAAAATTGCCACGCCAACATCGAAAATATCAGGTAACTTTTGAATTAACATATTTATAATAAAGCATCAGTTTATGGTTTACTAATAGCATAGTCTATTGTTTGTTTTAGGCGATGCTAGATACCATAGTGAGGGCATAATCTGTCTCGCAGTACATAAAACCAATCCGTTAGTTATAACGGGATCAACAGACCGTACCGCGCGCCTAGTAAATCTAAACTCGGGGGCAGTAAGTGCTTCTCATTCTATGCGACATGCTTTGTGCATTATCAGTCATCAACCATATTTAAACGATTTAGATACTCGGGTCATTTGAGAACCATTCTGAATCTGTAGAAACCGTTGGTTTCTGTGACATGTAAGTATCTGCATCGTTAACTACATACTGCACGCGGCCGTTCCTCACAATTTGTATGCTCATTTTAATGTGCAGATTACCACTAGTAGCGACCGGGTCAACAGATAACAAAATAAACATATGGGATGTAACGACAATGCGACTACGACAAACATGTCAACACGATGTAAGAATCCGCTAGACATTAATGCATCATCAATATTCAATTCTCTTCTCATATTGTTGGTGGCTTTTCCAGGATGCTGTTATAAAACTTCAGTGGCACACAGACTCTCCATTATTTACCAGCAGCAGTGCAGACAGGACCGTGCGCCAATGGGATGCACGGACAGGAAAGTCTGAGAGAGTGTGGAAAGGCCACCGGGATAGCATACTCGGATTTGCTATATCGAGGTGAGTTGGGGTCTGTTCGGAGAAAGTGCACGCACGAACGTAAAAAGCGAGCTAATGGTTTTATTATACAGAGATGGAAAGACGGTCGTTACTGCTGGCGATGACAATGTCTGTCGGATATTCAAAGTATAGTGAGACAGCAATTTAATGAGATCTATAATGCCCTGATTGGTGTCGAAGAGTTTGCAAAGTCTTTTTAAGCGCGTAATTAAATCACTGAATAAGCGAAAGTTTATTAACGCCCTTTCGAAGCATCTCACCTATTCGTTCCTAATAAATACTTTTCCTCATTAAGACATACACACTTCACCATATAACAACAAAGTTTTATTACAATAGCTTCTTGCTTCTCATATTCTTCGTCATTTTGTCCATTGTCTTACTTCCAAGCCTAATTAACGCCCTTGAGAATAAATCAAATACCAAAACAAAAATAATTCTTATTTATATAAAATAAAGAGTTAGAAGTGGAGTTAGGCTGTCGTAGACGCGTAGGATAGAGAAGGCCCTAAAGTATGTATTCAATAATATGGTCGACGGGGATTGTTCTAGGAAGGGCAACAGGTTAGTCGTGCTCAAATGACAATTATAATAAATCCTACATTCTAGAAAGTTATATTACAATGTAAAAAGGGAATTCTAATATATACACCAGTCCATATATCGCAACTACCTCGACGTGAATAAAAGTAACCATCCCAAACAACAGAAAGCTCTTCTTCTTCCTCTCTCTTCCCTTCTAAACAACACATCAGAAACATACCAGAGGGTTGGGTCTATATCTATACGCCAACATCATTCGCTTACGATAAATCTCAAACTCATCGTCTTCTTCAGCAACACCATCTGGCTTCTCTTGACCAAGACCTGCGCCTTGTGGTCGAGAATCAGCCCTGGAAAGAAGATATGTTAGTATAGGTGAGGTGTGGATGGTGTGGATCGGTATTTGATAACTGGTGGAATAAATAGAAAGCTGTGATGTATTGTGATTGGGAAGGCATCAAGAACAGCATATAAGGGAAACCATTTGCTATGGCCCCTTTGCTCTTGCTTATTCCACATTTCACAATTTCCGCTTCCTCTTCCACTTTACCAGATCCTCATCACACCTCATCCAAAATCCAAGAACTCTTCCCAACCTTTTCCCCATGATAGTTTCCCCTGAAAACAATCCCCCCCCCTTCTCCTTCTTCACTTCCTCTCTTTTATACTATCTTCCCCACTCTCTGTCCCAATCCACACACTCTTACTTGTTAACAGGCGCAACAACACCATCTCCCGTTTTTCCCAAACCCGTCCCAGCCTGCCATCCTTGTTTCATTAGCATCTTAAATCCGATATTATTCTGATCCAACTTATTCTGTGCATAATCTTCGTGTAAAGGATCGGGAGTGCCAGTTTTAACGGCTTTGACCTTTTGCTCGAATTTTTCGAGCTCTTCTTTGGGAAGGAAATCCGCTATGTGATGTGCTCGTTTTACTTCGGCTTGTTGAGTTAATATTGCTGCTTGTTCTACAATGATGGGGAACCGCGTGAGCATAAAGAGATCGGGTTTACCAAAAATTCATCAATGTTTCGCATCACGATCAATTTACCGACATGTCATCACGTACCAGCAGTCCTTTTCATTTCCTCAGCGCGCTTTTTATGTTCCCATGTCCCACCATCTGTAATCTCGTCCTCCGGATAGACCCATTTAGAACCGACGCGGACCATTCCTGGTTTGTAAGTATCTGAATATTTAATAAACTTTCTTTTATTTGACCCAACCTGGGCATTTGATGATTGTCCGGTGGAGGAAGACGTCGAGGAAGAAGAAGAAGAATAGGCTGCAACGTGAGGCGTGGGCGTTGCGGAAGCTGGGACATTGAAAGAAATTGGTGAAGATACTGGCACTGATGCAGGAGTAACATTACTCCCGCCTTGATCCCATCGACTTCGTTTTCGTTTTCGTTTATTTTCTTCTGGATTTTGTTGTTGTTGTTGCTGTTGTTGTTGCTGCTGTTGTTGTTGTTGTTGTTGCTGCTGCTGTGACTGCTCTGTAACCTCTTGCGGTATACACTCTGAGGAGCTTTGTGTTGTTGATATGGTTGTTGTCGTTATTGCTGCGGAAGAAGATACCCCTAATCCACCCTCACATTGACTACTATTGTTTGTACTTTTCATTGATTTCTCCTCCTCTTTTTTCTTTTCGTCCTGATTCTCTTCTGTTAAATCGTCGTCATCGAGTTTTAAGACGGGCTTTGATATTGGTAGATTTATTTTCTTTGTGGTGACTCCTAGCACGGCGGTTGGCTTGAGAGATGCATTTGCGGTTGAATTGGAAGTGGCATCGGTGTTTTTTGGGGGTGAATTCGTTTCGGTGAATTCTGTGGATGCGGTGAGGTTAGTATTTGTGCTAGTGTCCATCTTTCGGGAGAGAAGGAAGAATGAATGAAGGTTATATGAATTTTTTATAAAGTGTTCAAGAGTTAATATTAATGTTGTATTGTGTCACATCATCAATATGTGGAATTTTTCATATGATGTGATGATACCTTCGATTACCTTATATGAACGAACTTCTTGCGAAATGTCGGATGCGATGTCTTCTGACAAGGATAACAAAATGCGTTAGCGTTATTCTTTCAAGGTTATAACAATTGAGCCGACTTGATCACATAGTCTGGGCTTAACACATGTTGATTTGTTATGAGTTGAAATTTCTGCATTAGTATTAGTATTTGACCTTTTAAGATTAAAGTGAAAACGAAAATGATATACTGTATTAACTTCAATGCTGGTACAAGCAACATTTACCTTGCATATTGTCATATCATAAGTACAGCTTTGCTTGTTTGCATAAATTCTTCCTTTTAAACTGGCAAAACACAATAATAATATGAGTCACATATACTGACTTGATTTTCTATCAAATTTTATACCCTTAGCAACATACTTTAATTAAACAAACTTGCTTAATTTCAATCTATACTAACTGCTTTTCGATGCAATCTCTAGAATGCCATATCATGATAATTGTAATGATATGTGCAAGTGTACAAACGTGCAAGTGTGCAAATGTGCAAGTGTGCAATTCTTTCGATATCAAGTGCATTCCTAGCACCACTACCAACATCCTAGTATTACTATCTTCACAATTGTTACTACAATGTTATTAAAAGTAACAAAGAACAATGAGTTAACTTTAACAGAAAGAAATACTCAAAGGGTTAAAGTGAAGAATACCCACTATATTATTCTATTCTATAACATTGATTTCAAAAATATATTAGTATTAGAGCACAATTACCCTGACCTGAGAAGAACTATATTACAACTTGAAGTAGCCCACAACGATTTTACAGTTCAATGGAAAGGTTTCTACATATATAATATCCATAACTTGCAGTTATTTAACTAATATCACTATTTAAGTATAGTCAGCATTAATGTCATACATCACAAGATTAAATCACAAGATTAAATACTCACATTGTCTGATATCTGCTTGTGACATTCCGTTTGGCACAATACCTGATAAACTTGCTGGTATATCTGCTGTCAATGTTTAATGCATTAGTATTAGACTCTTTGTTAACCCTAGCTTTTTCAGCCTTTACAAACGATAAATACGCATATTTATTAATCATTGGAGAATGATCACTTTTTTTAGAAAAGTTTTCCAAGTGCTCTATTATCTCTTCTATGGTGGGTCTCTCACTTGGATCGTGTGCCCAACATCTCTTCATTAACTCTATGTAGCAATCTGGTGTATCAGAAACAATATCTGGTCTTACTCCTCCACAAACATTGAGTTTTAAGCAGACCATGTCATCATATTCATAAAATGCTGGCTTTCCTGATGAAATTTCCCACATGATTATACCAAAAGCATATACATCTGACGCCTTGGATTTGGGTTGACCTTGAAGAACTTCTGGTGCTGTATATGCAATTACCCCATATAATGCCTCGTGTTCATTGTCATTGTGTTTCTTGTCAGTATCAGAGGGACCAGCTAAACCCATGTCTGTTATTATAACTGATATGCTTTTAAAATCCTCATCTGAATTACACAGGATATTTCCACTGTGAAAGTCCCCATGAATAAAGTTTTCCTTGTGTAAACTTTGCAGCTGGTATGCTAATTTGCATAAAAAGGATATACGCCGTTCCCAAGTAAATTTCTTTGGATTTTTTATCAAAAGATGTCTTAAATCTCCACCATGTATAAACTCCATGACTAACACGAAATTATTAGTAGCATGGTTTTTTGTAATACCATACACTCTAGGTCCCTGGTGCTTATACTTTTTTATAAACAATAAATACAATTGTACCTAGAAAAGAAAATAATTCTACTTGTTAAATAGCGCAATCGTAATGGTGATAACATCTTGTTACACTCACTTCTTTTAGATATCTTGTTGAGATATTTTGAGATCCGATCAATTCTTTTAGTACGACTTCTGTTGGACCCTCACGCTCGCAGTACGCCGGTATCTCGTATTCGTTAACCCTTGTTGTCCATGGTCCTTGTTTCCAGGTTGCTTTGTAGATTATCGAAAATCCGCCTCTTGCTAATGACTCTCCGTTTATAAAATCGTCGTATGGAATCCATTCAATTATTTCAGAGATGGCTTTTGCGCTACGTTGAGCGTCTAATATAAAATTGTCTACATCAGCGTTCCCACTTGTCCAATTCTGCGACTGCTTTTCGGCTATTTCGGGGAGACATACTGCACATATAGAAAGATATGTACAGGTAGTATAGTCCGTATTGCACCTGGAACAGTAATGGAAGGCGGTAGGATATCTTTGGTAAACAAGACAGACAACTGATTTGCCAATATCCAAGCTCATGTTACGATGTACAAGTCAGTCGGTTCAAACCGATAGCCATGGCTACGCAATTTATAAATCCATGAGAACGTGCCGCAGTAAGAGTTACGCAAGCAAGTAACCATTCATACATCGCTATTTACAGCATATAATGACGCAAGGTTTCAGGGGCGCGTGGGATAATTCATTTCAACTTGCATTATTCTTCTAACCTGACTAATCTGATTGTTCGAACATTCTAGCCGCCGTCATTCATCACAAATGCTATTTCGCAAGCCAAATCAATGATGTCATATCGTAAATTAAGAAGAGCTTATTTATTTTTTGCTATGCCGCCAGTTTTTTCTTTTATTGTTACAACTTGGCTTGCTATTATAGTAATAGAGTATACCCTATTAAAAAATTTGGGATCTACAATAATTTGGATTTGGTAAACAGTAAGTGCTAAAATGTTATTGATATACGTGTATTAGTATGACAATAGACAACAATGCAATAAACAAGAATAATTATAGAACTTGCAAATTAGATTATCGTTTGCGTCTTGACCTTACGGCTTATGACAACATCGGCACCCACCCTAACACTAACCTTGTGTTTGCACTACGTGAAAAATATATCAATTCTCTCCTTGTAGGTTACTGTTGTTATATTACTTTTTCGCACTGCATTGTGTTTTTATTATTCGAACCAACGTTAGACAATTTTAAATAAGTACCGATCACATATTATACATCTATCTATGCAAATCACCAAGAGTTCTATACCATAGGACAGGGAAACGACTATGTACATCTGGAAGAGGGGTACAGATAAGAGAAAAGAAAAAAAGAAAAGTGGTAAACAAAATGTGATGAATAATGAAAGACTGTACGTAAATAGACAAACAAAATGTATGTACTATTGAGTTACGATAATTAGTGAACTAGTTATTACCAATTCGTAACAATCCACTTTAAATATAGAAACCAATTTTATGCTATATTTACACTGATCACTCATCCTCATTGTATTTTTCTTTGAATATCCATGAATTGCCCATTGTACCATATCCTTGGGCGTGTGCCATGCGGTAATACTTGGCCGCTAAGAACAAACGAGCGTCAGCAAAACAATAAAGATAAGTCAAAAAGTGATTATCATATGATATATCACTTACCAATTTTCAAATCCTTCTTCACGCCCTCACCCTTGTAATAACACATGCCAATATCATTTTGTGCATCTGGATCGCCCTGCCCAACCGAACAAATAGATATTTAGAAAAAAGAGTCCATGAATATCCTAATTTACCTACTCTCCCTTCCCTCTCTCTGTCTTCCTCTACCTACCAACTTCGCCGCCATTTCAAAATAATGTGCAGCGTGCACCTTGTCTTTTGGTACACCCCATCCATGTCGGAAGCAAACTCCTAACTCATAAATCGCTAAAACCAATTCACCCTTGGTGGCAGATAAATTGACTGAATTCAACATGTTAATATCGTCGACGGCAGATGAAGCGGCCTTTTGTAGGTATTTGAAGGCTAGACGTGGATTTATTTGACATCCCTGAAAAAGTACATACAATTAAGTGTGAATGAGAGGTCAGATGACATAAAAGAAACGTTTGACACTGAGGGAAAATCCGTGGTTTTAAATGTACAATATGGCTGGTGCTTTCTTGACCAGGAAACATTGTATAACCCCAGTTCATTCATATCTTTCCTTTTCTATTATTCTCCCTCTTTCATTATGACTAACCAATTCCGCGATCCCTTTCCCCGTCACCATTTTCACACTCACCCATCCATGTCTAAGTGCAAGACCATACAAGGTCATACCAATAGGGGAACCTTCCTCTGCGGCAATTTTCAAATATTGTGTAGACTGCTCCAACTGATTGCTCTCATGCAACTTTATGGCCTGTTGAACGTAATCGTCTATGGAGAGTGGCTCTGCAATTGAGTGAGGGTCAAATTTTCGTGTTGTTTCTGCCGGGCGAGTCTGAGGAGGCGGTTGGATATAGGGTTCCGAGTCGTAAGCGGATGAAGATTGTGGTGGCATTTGCGGTTGAGCATCTGAAGGAATTTGCCGTGTTGATTGTAAGCTGGGTGGCTGCTGAGTCTGTGAAGGAATTTGCCGTGTTGATTGTAAGCTGGGTGGCTGTTGAGTCTGTGAAGGAATTTGCCGTGTTGATTGTAATCTGGGTGGCTGCTGAGTCTGTGAAGGAATTTGCCGTGTTGATTGTAAGCTAGTTGGTTGCTGAGTCTGTGAAGGAATTTGCCGTGTTGATTGTAAGCTGGGTGGCTGTTGAGCCTGTAGAGAATTTTGTGGGATTTGTCGGGTTTGCTGTAAATTCGGGGGTAGTTGAGCCTGTGGAGAATTTTGTGGGATTTGTCGGGTTTGCTGCTGCATATTGGGCGATCTTTGAGATTGTGAAGGGCCTGGTGGCTGCGCATATTGGTAGTCTTGCTTCATATATCCTTGTTGTCCTTGCTGTTGCATTTGCTTTCCGGGAGGTAGAGGGGCAGATCTCGGTGCTTCAAATACTTTGGGTATTACTAAGTTATGCTGTTGATGCTGTTGTTTTTGATATTGTTGTGTTGCAGGTGGTTGTTGCCGTGGATAATAATAATGTTGGTCCTGCTGCTGCTGCTGTTGTTGTTGTTGTTGTTGTTGTTGTTGTTGTAGCTGTTGTTGTTGTTGTTGTAGCTGTTGGTCCTGTTGTTGTTGTAGTAGCTGTTGCCGTTCTGACAAGAGCCCTTGTATTTGTTTACTCACGAATGGATCTGTCAATGATTCCTGATTATTATTACGCATTGGCGATGTTTTCTCGTTTCCCGTATCACGACCCTGTCTGGAACTGCTTCTTACAGGTATAGGTCCCATGTTATCTATAGGCAGAGCACTCGGAGATAGAGAAGAGGCTGTTTGAGATTGTAAGCGATAATTGAGGTTAGAATTAGGCGAAGTGGGATAATATTGCGATTCGTATTGGTATTGACTTGCGGGATTTGCAGGAGGCATTTGCCGTTGGTCGTATGACGTCTCGGAAGTCGGCATTGTTGAAGTTGGGAAAGTCGAATTCCTCGTAGAATAATAATAGTCGGACACATCGTATTCCGAAAATACAGAGGGTGCGCGTGAACCGACAAAACTCTCATGCCCAGGAGGGATGCTAGATCCGTTGTATTGTTGTGGGGGAGATTGAGATGGGAAGAAATCGCGTTCTCGTTGCTCTTTGTTATATTCTTTTCGTACTTCTAGCGATGCAGAAGAGCCATACTGACGCATAGCTTGTAGCTGGTATCGACTACCTTGCGAGTCGACGTGTTCAGGAGGGTAGTAGTAACCTTCCTGAGAGACCGGACGCGGACGACGCATTGGGTCGTCTACGTCGCGGTCAACAGAAAGGCCATTTTTGAATTTGCTCATTTTCGTCTTGACAAGAGATAGAGAAAGGAGATAAAGGGGGTTTGAAGAATTAAAGACGTTTCCATTATAAACGCATTTATGAAATATTACTAGTATTTACAGGAATGAGCATCAGGCTGTGTAATATCAGCCATGCACTTGTCCTATTACATAACGGTTATTTGTCGATCGCAAACAAATATGCCGACCGACTAAATTGATCGAATAGTTCTGTACCAGGTGATGAGGAAGGGAATTTGGGTGACATTTCAGACATTTCATCCCATATTTTTTATAGTCCAAAGTGGAAAATAAATCTTTACGCGCGAGACCCAAACCACATGCAATATGATCAGGAAGCATGAGCAAGAGAAGCGCTTTAGGAAATATACACTGTTCTTGATGGATTTGTGAAATGATCATGCAACTTTATTGCGCCTGATTACCATGATATATTTACAATTTCGGTTAGATTCTCATACTATTACTATGCTTTATCTTAATTCAGCGTGAATTTTACAAATGCATTGATAGCCATTGTTTAGAAAACTTCCAAGTGACGTATCCATACTTGAATGGAGCTTTCTACTAACCCCAAAAACTTTTGTTTGCCGGCAAGGCGTTACGGTATTACTAACAATAGATTCATAGCTCTGATTTTTAGTACGAATATTCTATTTAGACGATAACGTTACACATTCCTGATTGTATGCACAATTTATTATGTCGTGATCTTTTCGTTGCTCGTCGTAAAATGTATTTCAATGTCAACAAATAGACTTTTAATAAGCTATTGGTAACAACGAAACAATATGAGCAACGAGATTGTTGGCAAAAAAGTAGAAAAATGAATGGTGTTTAATGGTATCTTGTTAAACCTGTTATCATAGCCTTAACTTTTGTCAGTGCTATTGTGAAAAAGGGAGCATCTCAATGTCAATTGTATTGTTACACTCGGTCATCTGAGCGAGCGTGTGTTCAAATTGACCAAATTGAACCGTCCCAACTTAGGACGTTGATTACTAACACGGAAGATGGATAACACAGTCTCCTTAATTATCATTTACTATAAAAATTTCGACGCCTGTTCTGGTAATCAACCCGTTTCCTGTTCTTTTAGGATCTATTTTCAATGCAATTGAGCCTTTGCTTTATTAGCAGTATACAGTACTACTATTACTTTCGGAATTTTGGTTACCAAAAAAAAATTATGTTGATCGGAGCAAAGAGTTTGGTCAAAAATAAATTGTTAAAAATTCTTGGAGCCATAGCAAAACCAATAAATTACGTTAATATAAGAGGTTGCTCTCCCGACTTGTGTGACGTTTTGAAGAAATAAATTCCTTTCAAGTGAAAAACATTGTGAAGACAGTTTGCCCATGTATTCAAATCAAAATCAATTAGCAGCATTGGATTAACTTGCAAAAGTTGGGATCCAAACTAACTTCTAAAAGATAAACGTTAAACAAAAGTGGTTATAGTCAACATTTACGACAATATGACAATACGGAATTTTAGCAAAAATCCTTATCAAAGACGACCAGTAAAAAAGAAAAGAGCATTAAATTTAAACTTACATTTAAATAAAATTTGTAATCCGCTATTTTGCATGCAAATTAACATTTACAATGTGAACCAAAATGATTTGTAAGTTGAGATATTGTAAACGAAAGATAATTTTTTGTCGGTTATTATCTGTCGTTTGATTTGGCATTCACTGACGATAATAGAATTCAATTAATGGGCTCTGCGTAACAACAGATAATTAATATTTAAGGTGTTCTGTAGATCAAAATTGAATTCTCTATTCCTAATTTGTCAAAAAGGGTTAGTTTTCGATTCATTTTGAAACGACATAATAATTCCCAATTTTACGCTGTGCCAATATTACAATATCATGTTTAATATCATTATCAACATGTATGTAGACGGCCAATTAGATAATAAACATTAACGTCGTAAATGGATTATTTTCTCAGACTTTATTATACCAAACAACATCTACTTGCACAAACATTATTTACCAGCTATTGAGAGTAAGTTGATAGATGCTTGAGTAGCGTAATTGACTGATGGATAGATGGATGGATAGACAGATGGATGGATGGATGGATGGATGGATTTACCAGTTACAAAGATACACATAGTCGTGCTACGATTCGACCCGGACAAATGCGCCAGTAATGGTATCTTGGCTTTCGTGTTCCCGGGTGACCTTATTTTGGGGCACGCAATGATAAGTCTGACAATATCGTATGGAATACTACTACACTCACTGGGAAATGTCATTGGATACTTTATTATTTAAAGCATCATTGTAAAATGAGAAAATTTTTAATAGCTTGTCGGCCTCCACTTCCGGATAGTAAAATCTATTACTAGAACATGTGAAATTAAAATGTTCTTTTTGTAGACGACTCAATCATTTTGAAGCAAATTGATTATAGATGCATTATAAAGCTACGGTGTAATATCTTTCACCCATCAAGTATTTCTCGATTGTCAATTACTGTATAATTGTCACAGTAAAATAGTGAACATATCAAAGAAAGATATTTCTGTCCTTCTACACAGTTTGATTACACTAATTTATGTTCGCTACATAAGCAGTGGTACGCATCCGTATAAAAAGCGGTCAGTACAAGACCAAAACAAAGAAAATTTTGGTTACAGTGAGTTATAAATAGAGCAAAAATTCATTTTCATTCGATTAAATCACCACCTAGTTCATAAACTGTTGAAATAAAAAGTATATTTCTAAACAAAGTCGATTTTTTAACTGTCTTAGGATTGCTACAAATTAGATTACCTAATAACGAAATTACGCGAAAGCGAGAATAATGGAAGCTAAGAAAGCGCAAATCAATGTAGCAATTACCTACTAAGTAATAAACATTGTTTACTAGTAAGAATAAAAGAGAGAGCGAGCGATAGGATTTATTTGACTAGCAAACCACGCAAATCGATTATAAAAATTTGTTGTTGTTATGTACGTATAATCGTTGGTACCCTTGTTTGCGGTACGAGATTGTTGTATGTCAGTTTGGAATTTATGTCGATTCCAAACTGACGTATAGGTTTTTCTGATTGGAGTCACGCATGATAATTTGTCCAGCTTATTCTATCGCCATGCTAAGCCGCCGTATACACTAGTACTGTCGATTAACTGTATAAGCGACATTCCTATTAATGAATATCTGCTTGCAATAGTCTGTATGTTGTAAGCCATGTATTTCAATCATGTCGTAGAGAATGTTGTTAACTGAATTCTTTACACATTTGTGGCTGATTTAAGCGACATAAACTATAAAGCAAGTAAATCACTCATGCAACGACACTTGTCTGATAAGCAAAATACTTGTGATACATCAAATTTCATGCAGTTGGTCGATTACTCGCCACCTCCTATTAGTGCTACAAGTTTGTTACGTGGCTGTAGCGTAATAAGTTATTACGTGTAATATTATTGTTTCTCAAAGTATTTATAAACAATATAAGGTAAAGGCGTAATACTGCAAGCTGCTTATATACATTACTGCCACATTTACAAATGTTTAAAATAACATATTTTTATGAAATAGGGTTGATATCGTAATGTAAATAAAATACTCTTATAATGTTGTTACTTGATTGTCATTACTATTCCAATCTGCTGAACATGAACAGTATGCTATGACGTATGACATTTCATCGTAATAACTGTAATGAATGCTTCTCTTTTTCCTTACCACTTGCTTTGGTTCTGCTCGCTGTTTCTCTGATAGAATGACAACAAGTTTTTCCCTTGCTGACCATTTTCTGCGAATCTGTTTAAACGTCTTGTAGACTTGTTAGCGCGAACCATAGTATTATATCGAAGAAGAGCCGCTATGCATTGCATTGTCTATATACAGAATGTGTTACATAAACACTATGGGGTTGTCAGGGGTACTTTACTCAGCGTTCTACGATATTTGTGAACGCAAAGAGTGTTTTTGCTTGAGAGCGAAACGCGGAAATTTGTCCTCAATTTGCACCACTGTTTCAGCCAATAAAAGGCTGCGCTAAGTAAATGTGCGACATAACACAGGAAGTTTAAATTGATCCACGTCGAACAAAGCAAATTAGTATTGAGTACATGTGGCCTTTAGAATTATACAAATATGAGCCGGCTCCCAAATTGTTACAAGACTAGTCGATATGCACAATTCTGCCATTGACAGCGTGGTCGCAACTGGCAATCGCCTTAAATGGATTCCTTACTCGCGGATTACCGAAATAAAGTCAAGTCAAATTGACAACATCTACTACGCTGTTCGCAAGAAAACTTGTCCCAATGGTAAAGTTGTTGAAACGCCTATAACGCTGATATTCCTTGGAAACAGCGAAGAATGTACACCAGCACTAGTGAGCGAGTTTGCCAGAATATACTCAATTTCGACAGACGAGTACAATAACGAGGTTAATCAGTTCAGAAGATATTCCACATGGCTTAAGAATCGCAACAAACTCATAAAAGGATTTACCAAGGATGAAGGTAGTTATTATTTGGTTGCTAGGAGATGTTTTCATCATCACTATTCTCTCTATGGATTCTGTCCTGCATGTAGAATACTTCGATGTAGTCCTGTGTGGTGCATTTGCGGTCATAAACAATTGTCCGATGGATGGACGAGCAACAATAAACAGCTCGACGAGTTTATTACGATATCTCAGTTACAAACAAATTCAGCAAATGATGCCTATTTGGAATGGATTCCATTTGGTTGCATCAATGATTATGGTAAATTTGGTGTACGCTTAAATGGTTTATCTACTTATGAATCTACAACCGTTAAATTGATTCCACTCGAGATAACGGATGAGACGGATGATTTATATTATGACAAGGTGACTATCAAGTACGAATTAGTGTATTATCAATCGTTTAGATAAATATTGACTTGTCATAATTTCACTAGTTATGTAAAAAGTATCCAGATATTCTTACCACAAATGTTTGGGTTACCATCGGATTCACATATGATAAGGATGAACAAAAG